TCTCCTTCTCTGGAGATATTCAAGACCCGCCTGGACAAGGTCCTGTGCAGCCTGCTCTGGGTGACCCTGCTTGGGCAGGGGGTTAGACTGGGTGACCCACAGAGGTCCCTTCCAACCCCTACTATTCTGTGATTCTGTGATTCTGTGGTCTCCAGCAGGTTACACCCAGAGGGTGAAGAGCGGGATGGTGTGCTCCCGTTAGGGGAAGATCTTCTTCCTCTCTCTCACAGTGCTGTCAGGTTTGTGGACAGAAACACCTGATGTTCAACTGACAGACAGTACGGACCTTTAAGGCTCTCCAGGCGCAACGTCAGAAAAACACTGTTCAGCGTCAGAACTGAAGGAATCGAGTAACTCAGCTGGAGACCAGACTCCAGCTGAAAGCCAAAGCCAAACCGGCAGCCAACCTGTCTTGGCTCACCCTAACACCGCCTGGGAACCCATCTATTTTCTTAGGCACTTAAATCTGATCTTTAGCCTTGATTCATCACTTGGGTCAAATGTTTCAAGCACCACTCCTTGTTTTGTGTGAGCTGTTGGCTTTTTTTTTTTTTATCTAAACAAAACTTAGGGCTGGAAATGCCTAGAAAGTTAGAGCAATAACTAGATGCAGTGCCCAAGCTGGGTGATGCTCAGACTCCTCTCCGTACAGCGGTCCACGATGTGAACACAACAGCAAACCACCGTGCAGGAAATAACCAGCAGTGATTCTCAGGTGTCAAACACTCTCCGTGTCCTCGCGGGGCTGCCTGCCAGCGCTGTCGAGACAGGTCCTCCCGTGCCTTCCGAGTTCAGGGTGAACAGAAGGCATCTGGATTTCTTCCTGAAACTGGAAGAACTAAATAACTCCAATTTTGGACTTAACCTGCAGCCAATCCCTCCTGCAGCAAGCTCCTGAGCAAGGCCTTGCTGCAGCAAAGGACGTGTCCCCCCTCCGCCCCACGGCTGGGCAGCCCAGCTCCGAGGGTCCGCAGCCCCCCAAGGAGCTCGAGGGCGGCAGCGGAGCCCACCCAGCCCGCAGCCCTGCCCCACCACAGGCTGCCACCCCCGTTCCTGGCCCCCGCCC